CACCGCGGGCCAGCCCTCGAGGACCTGGCGGTCCAGCCGATCAGGCGGAGCAGACTGCTGGGGTCCAACCCCAGCGGGTTCAGCGGTCCCCAAAGGTGTGGACGGAGTCGGCGAAGAAGGAATGACACGGAGACAGCGTTCAGTTGATCAGCAGCCTTGCCAGGATCTCTAGCCACAATCTCTAGCCAAGTTCTGTGGCCATGTTCTCTCGCTAGGTTCTCCAGCCAGGTTCGGTTTAGGTTCTCCAGCCAGGTTTGGTCGCCAGGTTCTGTAGCTGGGTTCTTCAGGCAGGTTCTGTCTAGGTTCTCCAACCAAGTTCTGTAGCCAGGTTCTGTCCAGGATCTTTTGCCATGTTCTCTCCAGTGAAGTTCTTCTGTCTCTAGGTTCGGTGTAGGTTCTGTCTTCTAAGTTCTGTGTCTAGGTTCTGTGTCCTGTTGTCTTGTTACATCTGTATTTATACCAGTTGATTCAATCCTATCAATCTCTATTCCAAAGGTTAGGGCGTTTCTTATCTCCATTCCAGGGAGTAAAGATTATGTAGTTTAAGCATGATTGTTCATAGTTAAAGTGATTAATTACCCGCCTGGCACTTAGTTAAGAGGTTTTATTCCCTCCCTAACTTCAGGGGAAAATCCCTACCTGGGGAAACAACCTTTCTCAGAGAGGTGACCTTGGTTAAAACACATAGTGCTAAGAAGGTGAGCAGACATATTAAGAACAGTATGCCATATATGCCAGGTCCCTTGAAACAACAAGGATGGACTGGCTCCCGGCAGCAGACAGATAAAAGCAACACGTGCCCCAAGCGGTGGTCAAGGCATGAGAACGCGCCAGGGTGAGAGGAGGGACGGGCAGGGGCTGCTCTCTCCACGGCCAGCAGAGAGGGGCGTCCGGCAGACCATAGGGAACGTGGGAACAGGACACCTCCGTCTTGGTGTGAGGGGGCGGGTGTCCATGCTGCCAGGTGTCATGTTGGAAGGTGGATGCTGTTGGCAGGACCCTCGAGGGCGCTCTCCCCGCTGGAGCCTGCTCTGCGGTCCAGGCAGGCGTGACCCTCCTGTCCTGAGGCGGCACCGCCTCTTCCTGGGACGGGCGGAGGATGGAGCAGCACGCGGTGGTCGCGAGCCACATGCGGCTCTTTGGCCCCTTGAGTGTGGCTCTTCCACAAAATACCGACTTCTGTGCACGGGCCACGAAGTTTCAATCACACTGTACATGCGCACCTGTATGTGGTATTTTGTGGAAGAGCCACACTCAAGGGGCCGCCGTTCACCGACCACTGGCCTAACCCTCTCCCCGTGTCCCACGCAGAGCGGGACGCCTTCGACACCCTGTTTGACCACGCGCCGGACAAGCTCGCCCTGGTGAAGAAGGTGAGTCCGCCGGGCCTGCGCCTCCTCGGCCGTCACCGCGCGGCCTCCGGGCCGGGAGAAGGTGGGACGCGTGTGACGTCTCAGCACATGTGCCACGCGGGTGGGAGTGGGACTATGATTAAAACGTAGTGACAGGCATCGAGTTAGCGGCTCTGAGCTCAGTGTCTCCGCCCCGGGCACCTTCCCGCTCTCCTGCCCGCATGTGCAGGGGGTGTTCCCTGCCCAGGCCCGAGTGCGGTGCGCTCCCTCCCACCGGGGCTCCCTCTCCGTGGGAAATGTTTTCACGCGTGTCAGCCGCCAGCTCTTGCTGGCCTCACTCCCGCGAAGCTGCGTCCCAGCCGGCTCCGGAAGGCCTGTTCTCCCAGGAGGAATGGCGTCTCACCCGCGGCTTGTGCTCACCTGACCCTGCGGACGTCTCGCTGCGCACGGCTTCCTGCCGCCCCGTCGAGTCTGGGCCGTGATGTCTGCCAGTGACTCAGGGGAGAGCTTTGTCTAGGACAGTTTCCCAGGTCCCGGTTCTTTCTTTTTGTTTTAAATGTGTTTATTGGTGTGAGAGAGTGGGAAGGGAGAGAGAGAGAGAGAGAGAGAGAGGGAGAAGCATTGATTTGAGAGAGAGAAACATTGATCGGCAACCCCTCCATATGCACCCCCACTGCTGATCAAACCCATAACCAGGCGTGTGCCCTGACTGGGAATCTAGCCGCAGTCTTTCGGTTCACGGGACGACGCTCCAGCTCACTGAGCCACCTGGCCCGGCCCAAACCGCTTTCTTAGTGCAGGACTTGTCAGAGCCTTTACGATGCTGCCATGCCTGAAATTCTCTGACAGAGTGTGACAGGAAGCGTTTTCCAAGCTTGTTTGTCAGCAGTGAGATGTATGATCTATGTATTTGGGGTCGGACACATCACACCCTGTGGAACCGCCTTTGGAAGGTGCTGGTCCAGGTGGGGCAGTGGGAGCTGCAGGTAGTTCTGGGACACGATTTTCAGAAGGCCACAGGTCATCCCACTGACCCTCTGGGGTGGAGCCTTCTTGCCATCCTTGCGTCATGAGGGACAGACCTCAGGCCTCCGGGCAGTGTCCCGCCCCCACACTGGCCACACCTGGCCCCAAGGCCCTGCCAGGGCTGGTTCGGTGGACGATTTAAATCTGGCTCCCCACTCATCAGTTGTGTGCCCTGCCTCAGTTTCCATCTGTCGT